CAGAGCCAACCAAAAAAAAAAATAGGGTTTTTCTAAATTACGCATAAAAATGTTGTGTTTGTTATGGTATTTGCCCATAGTTTTTTTTCTATAGATTGAAGTATTTACTTATTAATAATTTTAATCGTATTTATTTAGAAATTTTACTTTAAACATGTTTAATGTCTACACCTTCATATTTAACCTTTTTTTAATCAACCTATGTACTAAACGTGTCTCACAACTATATATATATATATATATATATATATATATATATATATATATATATATATACAAGACCGACCATAGTGTGTAAATAATTAAGCCCTTGCTTAGGGCCCCCATTTCTAAGGGGCCCCACTTAACCCAAACCTCAATTAGGGAATAATTAAGTGTCGATTAAAATTCTCCAATTTCCATTCGTAAATCGCACACATCGGTTGCAAAAATCAATTAACCAAACGATCGGCGTTATCTACTGAATGCGACTCACAGACTCAACGATTGTTCTTCAATTCTTCTTCTTTCTCTGTCGTTTGAATCTGATTAATTGATTCTTATTCTTCAATCTGATTTTTTGATTGTTCAAAAATCAGAAAAAAGTGGTTACCTCCATTGTTGAGTGACTTGATTCTTGTTTTTGAAAGGCTATCAAGTGTCAAGACTCAAGAACTCAAATGATTTGGTGATTCCTGAATTTTGAAAAGTAAGTTCTTCTTCCATTCTTGTTCTTCTTCGATTTTTCATTTGATTATCTATGATTGTGGTTTGTGAATTTGTGAAAAATTGATAATCTATTATCTATGTTAATTTTTGTTATTTTGATGAAGTTAAATTTGTTTGATATACAATAATACAATATGCTGTAATTTATTTTTGATTATGTAGTAATGCTAGAAATATTTTTTATTTTCTTCACCAAAGAAAGAAATAAATTTGTTTTTTTATTAGGGTTAATAGGGCTTAATTTTTTTTAATATTGATTGTGTCAAAGTTGGATTTTGGAATTTGGAATAGGTTTCTTATTTGTTATGTTATATGATTTGTCAATTGAAAAACAGTTAGTAAAAGAAATTGATTATGAAAATTTCATTAAAGAATTTGCATCTAAAAATGCTAGAAAAATTAACTTTATGTCATAAAATATATTCACAACAAACATATACATAA